TTTTTTTTATCTGATTCACATCAATCACACAAACACTTAAATTTAACAGGCATAATCTTATGATAATGTACTTTAATGCATCAATTCAAATAAAAGCATTCATAAAACACAAATTTCCCTTTCAGTTATCTACTGAAGTTGATGGAAGATTTTTGTCTTTTTTTTGTGTTGGTATTCCTATTTTCCCTGTGCTCGTGGTTTGTGTTAACTCTGTATATTGTCTTTGTATCGTGTAGGTGTTTGAGGTAAAGACGTCAGACATGCTGTTGGAGATGAAGACGAGTCGTCTGAGCACAGTGCAGTACTGCCACGCGTGTCCCAACAGCAGCCTGCTGGCCGTTGCTCTCTCTCATTACACTGTAGAGGTACAGCACACCGTGAAGAGAAAACAGTTTGTTAAATTACTCTGTAGCCAGCATTTCCAAACACACTTTGCCTCTTAACTTAACTCTAGGGTAGTGTTTTTGTTTCCATACCATAGCTTTGTGTCACCAAGAGACCAAGATCTTTAATATTCAGGTGAAATGATTCACTTAAACTATCACACCTGCTGAATTGCACCCCTTAGTTGTGTTTTAGCTTCTGTGTCTAAGGGAGATCCAAGTGTCTTTATAGTACACCACTGTTCATAGGTTGGAGGTTGTTTTTTTAAAGTTTCTTCTCAAGGCTGTATTTATTTGATCAAAATACAGTAAGCAGTAATATTGTGAAATTATTTAAAATAACTTTTCTATTTCAATATTTTTTAAAGATTAAAAAAAAATCTTAATTTGTGTGACACAGCTGATTAAAAAAATCGAATTTTTGTAGATACCATGATACCCCCACCCCCCCACACAGGTTTTTTTTAATAGAAAGTTTAAAATAACATGCAGTTCATGAGTACTATATTTATTTGAAAATCATTTGTAACAAATGTCTTTACTGTCATTTGATCAATTTAATGCATCCTTGCTGAATAAAAGTATTATTTTAAGAATCTTACTTATACCTAACATCTGAACAGAAGCGTTTTAGACAACAGCCAGTGCAGATTTACATGACAAGTTCACAGGACATGCAGACATGTTGGTTATTAAGTATTAAGAATGAACAATGTAAAACATGGGATAAGGTAAATCTGATTTGTGTTAATGTTGGGATGTTTTTTTTTTTTTTTTTTAAGTTGTGGAACTTTGAGACCAGTAAAAAGAAAGCCGAATGCAACGGTCATCTAAGCTGGGTTCATTGTGTCCAGTTTTCACCTGATGGCTCACTCCTGCTGTCCTCCTCCTCTGATCAGACCATCAGGGTAAGCTAGCTTTGGGCCCTCTCTTACTGTAGCGTGACAGTTTTTTTTGCAGTTATTCTTTGAACAGTATTGACCTGTTATCACAACAAGTGTTAACGCTTGTCTAGCTGTGGGAAACAGATCGGGTTCACACCTCCTCTGCTGCGGCTCTGAAGCGGGATTCTGATGTTCTCTTCTCCCACAGTGACGTTACAATGGTGGCACCAGACAGCAGAAACCGATTACAGGTACAGTCCACCAGAGTCATGCACATCTAGTGCTAGCTTGCTGCTGTTTTTTGTTTGATTGCATATATATATTACATGTAATGTTGCATTTTGGTCAATCAGGTACGGACCGGATTGGCAGGTGCCATTCTGTTTGAGAGTGAAGAGTTGCCATCCAGGATTCGCTGTACGTGTATCAGCAGAAATGCTTCATTTGTGGCCCTAGGAACTGAGGATGGAACTGTACAGGTATTTCACCTGTTGGGATATCATCATCTCCAACTGTCTCATCCTAATATTATACTCAATTTATTGGGTTTTTGGATGAGCATGCAAAGCACTCTGGGAAAAAATAGCCTTTAGGATGCTTGTGGGTGTTTTGACTCACCTCCGGCAATGAGATTTGCCATGGCTGTCAACTGCTCTCCGCCTTCTAATCTCTCGCCCTTCCTTTCCCAAACCCGTCCCTTCCCTTCTCTCCCCACTGAATGTCGTTGTGCTGGAGGCGAGTGTTGGCCTCCTGTGCTGCACAGTGTGTACTGTAGTGTAATAGATGTGACTGGTATGTCGGTTACAGCGGGGACGCCTAGAGGTAACAGCTGACTGATAGAATAAGCAGTGTTATCAATCTTACATTACACCCATTTACTGCCAAACAACCATTTATTTAGATTGCTCCTCTCCATCTCTGCCTGATTGTCTGTATTCACCTTAAAGAGAGATTGACAGATGGCTTTAAATAAGCAGAACAAAAACTTGAAGAAATGTACCTGGTTCAGTACAAATGAAACACTGTTGACAGCCCAGCCAGTATTACATACTGTTTACCACCGACAATTACAACAAATATTTATTTTAATTTCTTTTTTTTTAACTTATTTTTAAACTGAAGTTATTTTTGTGTTAATTGTGATGTTGATTATATTGAACATTTCAGCTGAAACATCTTTAAACAATGTTGATCTTACATTTTATAAAACAATTTGCAACTTTGTTAATGTAAATAAGGCTTCCCTTCATCTGCAGTGATGTTGGTACCAATATGAAACACCAGAGGGCACCAGATTGTTACTGGACTGTGTAGAACAGGGGTGCCCAAACTCAGTCCTGGAGGTCCGGTGTCCTGCAGAGTTTAGCTCCAACCCCAATTAGACACACCTGAAGCAACTAATCAAGCTCTTACTAGTCATACTAGAAACTTCCAGGCAGGTGTGTTGAGGCAAGTTGGAGCTAAACTCTGCAGGACACCGGCCCTCCAGGACCGAGTTTGGGCACCCCTGGTGTAGAACATGGCAAGCATGAACGGCTCACTACTAAAGCAATTGTCTTGCAGTAAAAACAATTAGTCTGTAATGGAGGGTTTCTTGCATGTCTTTTTTCCCCCCCAAAGAGATCCCTGGCATTATTGAAGTGAGTGGAAAAATTGAGAGATGAGGTCTTTGTGTATATGTGTGCGCAGACAGGAAGAGTGAAAGTTAGACAGTTTCTGAAGAACACTGGATGGAGAACCTTGCAGCTGCTGAACTTACAGCGTGATTTTGTGCTGGCACTAGGGCTAGAGACAGGTACAGTGCAGGTATGGTGAGTGGCAAGTGTGTGAAATGTCATGGGCTGTTCACACAGCGATTATTTATGTGACTTTCTTTACAATGTTTCAAAAAATCCGTTTGAAATAATGCTGTCGAATGTTTTCAAAGATTTCTGAAAAAAGTTTCCCCAAAAACATTAAGCAGCACAGCCGTTTTCAACATTAAGAAATTATTCTTGAGCACCAAGTCAGCATATTAGACTGATTTCTGAAGAATAATTTGTCTTTAACACTGACATTGTTATTTTTGTGTTCTGTACACTTTCATACTTGATTTCTGAAATCAACATTTTCACAGCATTTGATCACGCAAGACCAGAATACCAGCCCGCAAGCACAAATACCTCTTATTTACTTTGCAAAAACACAGCACACTCTCCCGTAGCTCCAGGCAGCTTTTGAAGTTTGCGTTTTGAAGCAGAATGGTTTTTTCTAGAAGTACAGGTTTGCTGAATTTTTTTTGCCATCATCTTTGTCATTATTTCTCCTCACTTTTAAAAGGCTCTTTTTTTTTTCTCTCTCTCTCTCTAATTTTTAGTAGTACAATAATAATTGTACACCATCAAGTAAACAAAAATAAAAGGAAAAGTTGCAATTGCATTTGAAGTTTTACATTGTCTATCTGTCTGAAGGTGTTGGAGGTTCCATCTGGAAAAACATCACTGAAGCTCACGGGTCACACTAGGACTGTTCACCACTGTCAGTTCACTGATGATGGTGAAACCCTCATCACATCCTCAGAAGACACCACTGTCCGGGTAATTCACTTTTAATTGTTGCTCATAATGAAGATGTGGTCTATTCTCTTTAGTTTTTTAGTCAAATAAAAAGAAATGTCTATACTTAATGTCATTTATCACATTTTATTAACCAAACATTCCTGTTTATGTTTCATCTGTGATTCGTGCAAAATTTCTTTCAGTGAGGACAAATTACCGTTTTTTTTTTTGGTGTGTGTGTGTTAGGATGTGGTTGTTTATTACGTCTTTTTGATAAAAACCTTTTATATGAATTTTCTGGCTGTGAGAAAAAGTCTCATATGCAGTTTGCAGGTGCAATTTAGTAATTAGGCCACATGCTCACAAACTTCTGCAGCAGCTGTTGTGCTTGTTTGAGAAGTTTTGAGCACTGGGTCATTACAGGGCTCATTGTATCATTGGTGACAAGCAGAGAAAGTGTGAGCAGGGGAAAACTGTTTGTGAACTGCTGCATGCACATTGAAATTCTGTAAGAATGGATAGTGACAGTCATTAAGACCTTTAGGACTTGTGTAGTAGGATCAAAGTTTATCACTTTGAACCAAAATCAGTACTTCAAATGTGATAAGCTTAGCAAATCAGTTTCAGGAGACCTTAAATGTCAAAGTTAACGTTTGAAAGGATGAACGTTGTCTTCGTCTGCAGGTGTGGAAGTGGAGGACAGGTGAGTGTCTGGTGCTGCAGGGCCATAAGGAGCCGGTCAGGAAGTTTCACCTGTTGAACAACTCTTCTTCCTCTCACCTATTGTCATGGTCGTTTGATGGCACTCTTAAGGTAAACAGAGCCTCTACAAATTTTTCTGCATTTGAATGAATCAATCTTTAGGACACAGAGAGTGTGAAGGATGTTGTGAAGACCACATATAACTATTTTCTGTAGACTGCATTGCTTTCAGTGCAAAACATGGTTATCAAGTCCAAATTGTGGACTGAAAGCCCAGTCAATCATGATAATTAGGTGATGCATGCAGTTAATCACTTGCAAACAGCTTTTTTTAAGATCTCAACAGCAGAAGTTGTTACACTTCACCCCAGTTGTAATCAGGGCTTCTGGGGGAAAGATCGTTTGTGGTCCACAACTTCCTGCCACTTTCCACCAATAGGGTACAAAAATTTGGCCCATGAAAAGAGGTGCTTAACCTTGATTCAAAGTCTCAGTAAATTATAAAAGCCTTTCGATTTCCTGTTCCATTTGTATGAGGTCTAAATAGTTTTGAATTGATTTTTTTCTAGCAATAGAAAGAATGAAAAATTAAGAATAGAATGGACTGTTTTTAAAAAGAACTACACCTAACTGGTTAACAGGAGTGCAAATTTAGTATGAATTAGGCTTTAACATTGTAGGGTCTAGCATGGTTGTTTATAGTGTCTAGTAAATTCATGAATTACGAAAATTTATTTAATGTAAAAGTTTTAATGTAAAATATTCTTTTTTTTTATAGAATTGCATATTGCGGTTTTTTTTTATTAATTTTTTTTATTTGTTGGATATAGTCATCTGCGGTGAGACAGGCCAAAATAGATACAGAAAAGGTTTAAAACTAGCAACCCTTCATATAATTTTTTTCCCCCTTTGTTTTATAATTTAATTTTAATTTAATAAATTTTATAATTTATAAGTTTATAATTGTCATACATTATCAATTTTTAAAGTTTTAATTGTTTAACTCAAATCATGGGACACTGAAGTGTACCATATTAATGCAAAGCTCATCCAGACATTTTCAGCAAAGTAGTCTTTTCGTTTCTTTTTGTTGCAGGTCTGGGATCTGAACAGAGGGCATATGCTGCAAGACCTTGAGTGTCATAAGGGTGCTGTCCTGTCATGTGATGTGTCCTCTGACGGACGTCTCTTTGCCACCACATCGGCTGATAGGACTGCTAAGGTCAGAGAACAGAGGTCACAAATTCATACATCAGATCAGTGTCAGTGGACAAGATATTGTTCACATTTAACTCTCAGAGCTTCGGCTGCCTCTGTGTTTACATCCTGGGCTCTGACTGTGTGAACACCTGCTCCCGTTACGCTGTTAGGTTGTGTTCACGCTAGGTGTGAGTCGGTGTTGGCAGGTGCTAGGTGACTACCTGGAGTATCTTTACTGAGCCTTGGGTGCTTGCGTTAATGATGCCACGTACGGCCAAATACTGCCTAATTAACTTTGTGTGAACACAGTGCAAAAGCTCACAGATACACGTACACACACGCATAGCGCCCTCTGTTTGTGGTATCAGAGGTCAGAGTCCAGTCTGCTCATCTGGGAGCGTAATGAGATGAAGTTCTCACTCTGCTTCTACCAGATATTGTTCACATTTGCCTCTGTGTTTACATCCTGGGCTCTGACTGTGTGAACACCTGCTCCCGTTACGCTGTTAGGTTGTTCACGCTAGGTGTGAGTCGGTGTTGGCAGGTGCTAGGTGACTACCTGGAGTATCTTTACTGAGCCTTGGGTGCTTGCGTTAATGATGCCACGTACGGCCAAATACTGCCTAATTAACTTTGTGTGAACACAGTGCAAAAGCTCACAGATACACGTACACACACGCATAGCGCCCTCTGTTTGTGGTATCAGAGGTCAGAGTCCAGTCTGCTCATCTGGGAGCGTAATGAGATGAAGTTCTCACTCTGCTTCTACCAGAAAACCTTTCTAATGAGATGCCATGTTCACGTCTGTCTGCCAGATCTTCTCACCGATTGGTGAGAGAGAGGATGGCAAAGTGAATTTGGAGAGCAGATCAGAAAAATCATTCATGCCAAATGGACCCACCACAATTAATGACTAACTCTTGACTAAAATTAGAGATGGAAAAACAAATTTCAAGCAGCAGTTTTGATGATTTGCTCAACTTTGTTCTGATTCCAATTTATTATATTAACCATTTCACAAAGAGATCTCTCAAAAACGACATTAGATCTCTTCAAATTACTTTACAGTTTTGCGCTTGTTCGGTTCATGCTATAAAATGGCTTATAACTGCTGATATTGTTCCCTAAGGTATGGAGCAGTGCCTCGTGGGAGAACACTTTTTTACTGAAGGGACACAAGGACTGCGTTCGTAGCTGCCGTTTTTCTTGGAACAACAAGCGACTTGCGACGGGTGATGACAACGGAGAAATCAGGGTAAATTAAATCTTAAGCTGCTTCATACTGTGAATCATCTGAGTTAAAAGGAATAAAGATCTGATTGTGGCCTTGATAAAACTTCAGAGGGATTTTTATGTGTTATGGTAAGGATTTTTGATATTTGCGACCCAATCCTTACTTTTTTTACTTTATACATTTTTTGTTTTGTTTTTTAAACCAAGAGAGTAATGATTCCTAATAAAAGTACTCTCAGATCTTTTTGGACAGCAAGTGTTGGCAAAAGTTCTACATATTAACTGCACAGTTTTTTTTTTCTCTTGTTATTTGGGTGAATTGAACAATCACCCAAATAGAGTTGTAAAGAAGTTGTAATGGCAAAGTAATCAATTACGGTGAATTTTGGACATCTGTGAATGCGAGCAGATATTATGACCACATTGAGAGCAAATGGAGATATTAAGAGAAGTGATGCAAGGACAAATATGTCTTGATGCCTCAGCATCGCCTCCATGTCAGTTCTACCAAGCCTTCTTTCTGAGTCTTTTTTTTTTTTTTTTGCGGGGAGACGGACCCCAGTGCTCAGAACCATAAAGGAAAGATCTACCTCATCAATTAAAGATGCTGCTCGCGAAGAGAGAAAGTGAGAGAAAACCACAGAAAGAGAAATGCTGTGATGTTTTAATTCATGGCTTGTGGTGCTTTTTCAAAGCTCACGTCTCTGTAACACTGTTTACTGCCACAGAGAAATGTCAAGTCCCACATCACAGAGTAATATCTGTAAATCAGGCTTTAGTGCTGTAAAAAAGGATATATTTGCATTTGGCATTTTTATTTTCTCAAAAGCGATTTCTGATTCAAACAAGAAACATTGATGCATTATAAATACACTTTTGTGGAATCCGTGTTGTGCCGTATGCATTTTGATAACCCATTTATTTTGTGCTAATGTTGTGTATCTTAAAGCTGTGGAGCATGCTGGATGGAGCTCTTCTGAAGATCTGTTCCCAGGCCACTAAGGACTCCATGGACTCTTTCCACGGTGGATGGGTGACTGACCTGCACTTCTCCCCTGATAACAGAGTACTGGTCTCTACCGGCGGATACATCAAGGTACAGTTATTATACAGATGATGTCTCTGTGTTCTTAGTGGCGCACCCTGGAAAAGAGCTGTTTTTTGATTAGCTTCATTTATCCTGAGAATGGTGCATGTGCGATTATGATTTAGAGCTGGGTAAAAATAATACAAAGATTTGTAACTTTGTTTAATTGGTGAATTAAAAATGCAGCATAATCAGTGTAGCCTGAGACGAGGGTCTGAAACTCTGCTAGGTATAATTTACAGCGTCAGCAGATATTTAATTAATTAATAAATATTTATATTAAAATATACCCAGTGAATCGTATTGAATTTGAACATCTGTTATTACCGTTTATTATCGTTATAATTATTATACCTTTATTGATAATAATACTTATTATTATAGTAATACTCCATTGCCCTGCATTCTTTCTGAGGCGTCGTGCAAAAGTGCAACCAAGATGAAGTCTCGCCAGTCTCTGCTTTATTATCAATCAGACGCTTGTCCAATCGCTCATGTCACAGAGGCACATTATCATGTCAGGAACGGAGCGAGACTAAGTTCCATCAAAAATGTCAGCCATTATCCATCACGCATTGCAACTTCTTTATTAATACACTTAGAGCCGTCTTTACATTGAGTAAGTGTCACAGGCATAATGATGCTTCATCACGCATCAATCTGTCAGTTTATCAAATGTGTCTGCATCTGGCTGCCCTCTGCTCCTGACCCTCTGCTCGAGTGTGCGAGCAACGGATCCGTCGGAGACCCAATAATAAGCTCTGATTGATCGCCAGCTGTCCTCACACTAAGGATCTCGCTGTGTATAATATCAAATGATAAATTAATCATCGTCAGTGTTGGTTCCACATCCCCAGCCAAACCTCTTCATCAGACCGAACCAAACCTGCCGTAAATCTGCTACGACCACACAAAGGAAGGAGGTGCATGAGACGTGACGCGTCAATGGTGCGCTTCCCGCTGTAGATGCGCTTCTGTTCCGATTTGAGAATTAACGTCACCTGCAGGATCCGGTTATATATCAGAGCATAGGTTGTGTGAAGTTGCAATAGTAGATTAGTAAGTTCCTGTGAAGAATCCCTGGGTATTTAATTTCCTGTCCATGTTGTCACTTGCTTTTATGTCAGACATGTGATATAGACAAACTTTGACATTTTCAAAGCAAAATTATGATCTGAGCCATGACCTAGCAGTTTGCACATTTAGTTGCTGTGCTCGTGCGGCGGCACAAGTTTGAATTCAGCCTGCAACGTTGTCCTGTTTTCAACATCTTCTCTATCACCAATTGTGTTTAAAAAAAAAAAAAAGCCCTCAAAAAGATTTTAAAAGAATGTAATGAAATGAAGCTGAATTTTGTCAGGTGTCATAATAGGACAGCAGCCTCGTTTGCTCTGTTAAACTCTGTTTAGCTTGTCATTCAGATGGCAGAAAGAGTCTTGTGTATATATCACCACGCCTGATCTTGTTTGGCATGGCAGCTCTCTGCATTCACTTTGAGGTGATCTGCCTCTCGGCAGCAGCTACATCTTTTGATGTCTGCCTTCCGCAGTTTGTCGTTGACATTTCTATTTGTATCGAGCCATCAGCGAGGCTTATTCTTTGACACCACTTGCAGTTCAGTCAATCAGAGTACAAAAACAACTGACTTGACTGGCCTGCCGCCATCCACGTTTAATCTCACGGTAACGGATCTTAGTTCATTTAAAGTCAGACAGCAAGTCAGGGATTCATTAGTAAATGCTCACAGATTCAATATTCAGAATGACTCGAAGTAATTTGTGAGACGTATATATGTAGTAACTTTTTGTCTTCTGTTTTTCAGACAGTGAATCCCAAACAAAACTCCCACACTGGCGAGCAAACCTTTTTTGGGTGCATGATGAGTGTCTCTCACTTAAGCCTGTCATTTCTGACATGATTTTGTGTGGCAGTATGAACACTGCATTGTTTTTTTTTTCATTTTATGACAAGTCGCAACCAGCGTTTAGGTGTAATAACGCCAGCTGTGTCTGAGTGTAACCATATAGTTACTGGAGCTGTTTGCACTGTTATTGTAGTTTCATTTAAGCATCACTTTTATCATTAATACCTATTGACCCCTAACTGAAGCAAAAACAAACATAGTATTAATCTGTTATTTTGGAAGCATTCTGTCCTTTTGTCTCTCTGTCCTCATTGAGACCGGACATGTCCCGTCCAACCCACTTTCACCCGCAGAGGACAAATCTGCAGGGCATCTGTCTTTTTATACCGTTTCCTTGTCTGTTTTCGGTCTCATCATCGGGATGTCTGAAGTCTGCATGTCTATTTTTGTCACTTTTTTTCTTAAATCTAGCCAACAGGGTAACATGCAGGAAAGAATGATGCTACACGCATGAGTCTGTAGAACTAATTTTGCCCTTCACTCTATAAATGTTTTCTGTGTGTGCTTGTGATTTATAAAGGCTTCTTTCCGTTTAGCTTTCACTAGGGGTGCTCCGATTGATCGGCTATCGATTGCTATCGGCCGATAATTGCTTTGGGAAGTCTGATCGGCGGTCTCTATAAAGACCGATCTCATAAACGGATCTCAATCTGATGACGCGCCTGCCTGAGAGGTTCAGCATGACATGCAGCGGCACCGTCTCGATCTCTGTCAGCCGCGGGATGTGGCAGTATGAACACTGCATTGTTTTTTTCCCATTTTATGACAAGTCGCAACCAGCGTTTAGGTGCAATAACGCCAGCTGTGTCTGAGTGCAACCATATAGTTACTGGAGCTGTTTGCACTGTTATTGTAGTTTCATTTAAGCATCACTTTTATCATTAATACCTATTGACCCCTAACTGAAGCAAAAAAAAACATAGTATTAATCTGTTATTTTGGAAGCATTCTGTCCTTTTGTCTCTCTGTCCTCATTGAGACCGGACATGTCCCGTCTCCAGTCCAACCCACTTTCACCCGCAGAGGACAAATCTGCAGGGCATCTGTCTTTTTATACCGTTTCCTTGTCTGTTTTCGGTCTCATTCATCGGGATGTCTGAAGTCTGCATGTCTATTTTTGTCACTTTTTTTCTTAAATCTAGCCAACAGGGTAACATGCAGGAAAGAATGATGCTACACGCATGAGTCTGTAGAACTCATTTTGCCCTTCACTCTGTAAATGTTTTCTGTGTGTGCTTGTGATTTATAAAGGCTTCTTTCCGTTTAGCTTTCACTAGGGGTGCTCCGATTGATCGGCTATCGATTGCTATCGGCCGATAATTGCTTTGGGAAGTCTGATCAGCGGTCTCTATAAAGACCGATCTCATAAACGGATCTCAATCTGATGACGTGCCTGCCTTGAGAGGTTCAGCATGACATGCAGCGGCACCGTCTCGATCTCTGTCATGACTACATAATTTAGTTTGTGGGTAGGTTTCTCAGTGAGACTTGAAGAAAAACAAGGAATTACAGATTTTCAGTGTCGTCTTTAAAAAAAAAAAAACAAGTAAATGTGTAATGATACAAATATGAAGTGCTGTAACCCGAGTACAATTTGTCCATGCAGATACACCACTGGATTATCAAAAGGTGAACATGTAATTGTTTTTGGTGTTTACAACATGCTTAATGTGAATATAAAATGCAATGCAATCAATGAAGACCAAGGCAAGTAGTCTGACTGTCATTGATGTTAATGAATTTATTATTGGCACATTTGTTCTTCCCCAGAGCTTTACGGTGTACAGCATGAAAGTAGATGCAAGTGATTTTTGCATGTCACAGGTAAGAAATGTTAAAGAGCAAAAAAATGTAGATCTTTTATGTGTGTTTAAAAGGGAGGAGGGCAGTGCTGACACAGCAGCGGTCATGCTCCGTCTGTTTCTGACACTTCCTGTTGGCAGCTGGCTGATGAAAACAGACAGCGCACTGTGTCTAAATGTCATTGTTGAGCAGAGCTGTGTTGTACAGTCACCGTAGACTGCATTAGTTGTTTGTGAGAGAAGTGTTTTTTGTGTTAAGTATGAAGATGTAGTGTTTTTGTTTTGAGGTGAGAGGCGGCAGGTCTGTGGAGCCCCTTTTCTGTATGTGCCGATCACACAATGACATTCTCAATCACCGCAACAAGCCACAACCTCGCATTGCACTAGGCTGGGGTGTCCAATCCGGTTCTTTGAGATCCACCTTCCTGCACAGTCCACTTCCAACTGTAATCAAATGTACCTGTCTGTAATCAAACTTTTTCTGAATGACTTTAGTTGCTTGTGGGTTTAAAATGACCTTTGCTGGTAGGTACATCTCCACAAACTGGATTGGGCACCCCTGCGCTACATTTCCCCAGACCATTGACAAGCTTGCCGTTCAATAATATCACATTCTATCACCCAAGCCAGTTCATCTGTGGTATGAACAAGAGTTACCTCATTACTTTTTCAGCGCTCCCTTACTGGTGAAATTGTTGCTAGAGGTTCAGTGAAAACTCAACTTTCTCTAAACCATTACATAACCCACCATAGCATCCCCAAGCTGATGCCACCTGTGGTCAAAGTCTGCTTTGTTGAAAAGGTTTGGGCTTTTTGCAGATGTAACAACTGATTTTTTGGAATAGGCCGGGTGATTTTCTGTTCTATCCCTTTCCTTAGCATGTATTGACTGTTGAGGTACAGAAATCATTTATCTTGTGTATCTCAACTACACATTTCAAACCATTTCTTAAGCACATTAAACAAGTGTTTGCATTTTACACAATTGTCCATTTCACTTTTGACTAGTTACTCCACTTTACCCAATTACACAGTAGGGGTTGCATCGACTAGTCGACTTCAATGCTCTGACATGATGCTTTAAGCTTGACGTCGACTAGTCGCTGGTCCTATAGAGGGCGCAACAGGATAAGAAATCTTTGAAGGACTTCCACATTTACACTCAGTTTCCAAACAGTTCAAATGACAAATAAATGCATACTCTGAAAGCGCTCAACAAGACGTGTGATTATATTACTGGATGCTCGAAATTGAATGGGAGAACGCATGTTTTAAACGGCTTATTGTACAGGTAAGTTAATCGCCGTTCTAATCTAATGCGCTGCTGCACTGTAACTCAGGCTACAGACCGTAGCGCACATCACGCGCATAGAATCATCCAGCGTGGAAATGTATCGTCAACACTGTTCTGTGATTTCTCAATAAAATAGCTTAGAAACTCAAAAGTTCAAGCATATATTTCTTAACTAAATTCCACAGCTTCACTACTAGTAGAGAGACGCTGCCTGGTAGAATTAATTCACACAGACAATCACTCTCACTAATGCATTCATATTAATGTAATCTTTACTGTGCTTCTTTATCTGTATCTGATTTGGAATGGGTCGTTATATTTCTCACAGATTTCTGCTCAAAGACAAAAGAAAAAAAAAGGGATAAAAACCAAAGTGCTCTGTACAACTTTTGCACTACATTCAAAGTCTTCTGAAACCAACTGTTTTGCGTTAACACATTTGGAGTCGTTCAATGAAAACTGATTGCCATCCACAGTAGCTGTGGATACATATTGCAAGACATTTCACACCCACACCGAATTAAACACACCACGACCAGCTAATCGAGGGCTGCTCCCAAACTCCAATACTTCCCTAGAAAAAAAAGGGATAAAAACCAAAGTGCTCTGTACAACTTTTGCACTACATTCAAAGTCTTCTGAAACCAACTGTTTTGCGTTAACACGTTTGGAGTCGTTCAATGAAAACTGATTGCCATCCACAGTAGCTGTGGATACATTTTGCAAGACGACGGTAAATGTGACTACACCTTAAGCCTGATCCTGTAGGGCTACTTTCCAGCCAACTTTAACTCCACACCGAATTAAACACACCACGACCAGCTAATCGAGGGCTGCTCCCAAACTCCAATACTTCCCTACTATATAGGAAGCCAAACAGCATGTGAGGTCCCACTTTATATTAAGTGTCCCTAATACCTGTGTACTTGCATAGTAACTAGATGTGTACGTAGTATGCACTTCAGGCTACCTTTGTCTTTGTCCACCAAATTTGTTGAGTCAGGAAAACACGCTTTTCTCGCAAGTGACCTGCTAGTGCTCCAGAGCGCAATGTAGTCTGACAGATAAACGTTTGAGGACTTGGCCTAAATATGCTTCGTCTTTACACTGATAGTAACAATCCACATATAACGCTTTGGAACGTTTCCTTCTGTTCCCGAGATTGGGTGTACTTTTTTCAAATGCAAATATGGCGTAACAAAATGGGAACTTCGCGACAAAACCACATTTACTGTTTCGCACGCGGTCTTACAGCGCCCGTCTGTGAGAAAACTTCGACCTAAACGAGGACATTGGAGATTGCTTCTTATGCTTTGCCTTGGGTGGGAGGGAAAGCTAAAACTTTGCCCCCTCCCGAAACGCATCTGGCCTCATTGACAGATGAATGTGGACCTTCGGCAGATGTAATTTCTCTTTCACCTCGCCCGTCATTGACTGCAGGCGAGGTGAAGCCCTAAACGGGCTTGTGGCCAGTGTTGCCATGGCAGCTGGCTTTAGGATGCTAGGCATCCTCCCAAAAATGTCCTTTCGTCTCACCTCCGACAGTGGAGTCGAGGGTACTTGATGAGTTTGACGCCACAAAAATAACATCTTCTCATCTGAACCTTGGGTGCACAGCAATGTTTTCAAAGGTAACAGCAGGTCGAGGGAGCTGTGGGATCAGGTTCAAAATATACAACAATCACTATCACATCAGCAATTTCCACTGTCTAGAGCCGCCGTGTGGTTATGAAAATTTGTTTTTTAAAGTGACAACCTAAAGCTGCAGTATAATAATATATAACTTTTATTTGGTTAAAAAAATTTTGGTAACACTTTACAATAAGGTTCATTAGTTAACTACATTAGTTAACATGAACTAATAATGAACTGCACTTATACAGCGTTTATTAATCTTTGTTAATGTTAATTTCAACATTTACTAACACATTATTAAAATCTTGTTAACATTAGTTAATGCACTGTGAACTAACATGAACATCTGTATTTTTATTAACTAACGTCATTGACTGCAGGCGAGGTGAAGCCCTAAACGGGCTTGTGGCCAGTGTTGCCATGGCAGCTGGCTTTAGGATGCTAGGCATCCTCCCAAAAATGTCCTTTCGTCTCACCTCCGACAGTGGAGTCGAGGGTACTTGATGAGTTTGACGCCACAAAAATAACATCTTCTCATCTGAACCTTGGGTGCACAGCAATGTTTTCAAAAGTAACAGCAGGTCGAGGGAGCTGTGGGATCAGGTTCAAAATATACAACAATCACTATCACATCAGCAATTTCCACTGTCTAGAGCCGCCGTGTGGTTATGAAAATTAGTTTTTTAAAGTGACAACCTAAAGCTGCAGTATAATAATATATAACTTTTATTTGGTTAAAAAAAATTTTTTTTCATCAAGTGCATAAGGCATCTGTGTTCAAAACTGTCTCCTTTCCTTACCTCACATCGATTTGCAACGGTACGCTCAATGATATTACATCATTTATAATTTGAGGTGTCGGGTCTGATTTTGCAGAAAATTGACAATTTGTTAGTTTGATGTCATTCATGTTTGGCGTTTGCATGGACAGGGCTACTAAATGGTGTGTGTGCGTAAGCAACTGTTTTAAGAACAAGTTACAAATGCTACATGCACAATTTAAACTTATCTCGATAGCTGCTTTTAATTGGCAAAATTCTAAATGGCAATCGTCGTCAACATCTGGGGAATCACCTGTTGCCCAAACTAAAAAAATCTTCAACTGCGGAGAGTCTGCGGTCAAAAAGAGAAAGTTTCAGAAGTCTGTGTTAAAACGAGAGTAAATGTTGGCGTGCCAAGTAACTTGCAATTTTATGTTTTAAACCGAGATGGCTGACCGAGCTTACTGTTACCAGAACCTTTATACCATTCGTCTTCACATTAGTATGGAAAGGTTTGAATAACAGTCTGAGCCAATATTAAGGTCTTGCATCATCTGGAAAATGTTTCTTAGAGCTCAAACGTGCATCAAAATACATGTTTACAAGCTAATTTTAATTTATTACTATTTCTTTTCTATGATATGCCATGAAATTCTGCTCATATTTTTACACAAAAGCCCTGTTGCTGTCAAAAGTCTGGCAGATGATGACACAAAATGACACGTTTTGTGGCGAGGGGTGGACTTTTGCTGACCAATTAATGTGGATTTCTGGGCGCAAGTAATAGAGAAACAGTATTCATTGTTCATTTACATACTACCAACAGACATTGTAATAATACAAAGTTGGTTGAAATTCTGCAAATTTATCCTTTAAACCATGATGGTATTTAACTGGAAATAACTGGCAACCCCCTTGCTAAAAGTTCCTATTACAGTGAAATCACACAAAGTCCACAGCACTAGTTGCAAGAGACGTTCAGTTGGGCCTGCTCTAACATGGGATGTTGTAGCTCAAGGGTGCTCATTCCTGCTCTTGTATATTGCAATTTTGTTCCTGCTGTAATGCATCTGTCTAAGTTTCTGCTGAAGCCCAAGTGCTCGATTACCTGCTTCAGGAGCGTTTAATTAGAGATGCAGCTAAACTTCAGCTTTCTTTTGAAGCATCTTCAGGCTTAAGCACAGTCGCAGCATAACAGACAGTGTTTCTGGTAAGGAAAGGCATTAAAATGATCAAACTTAGACTGATTGACATACAGTATGTATTATTTTAGTGTTTTACAAGTAGCTCATTACTTACCTCACAATTGCGTGATCTTTAACATGTTTACGTACCTCCTTTGTGCAGTACCTGCATGATGAAGTCAACATGAAATCTAACAAATCAAATTTACAGTCTTAATATGGATTCTTGGTCATATTGTGAACGATTAAATGCAAAATAAATTCAATTATTTGCAAAATAAGCAAATAAATTACATACAGGCACTCCTCAAATTGGAATTCAAGCTTCAAACAAATTACTAAATAAGGACAACCTAAAATCTTTATATAGCAACTCTAGTCAGAAACTTTGGCAACACTTTAGAGACCAATTCTCACTACTAACTAGTTGCTTATTAGCATGCATATTACTAGCATATTGGCTGTTTATTAGTACTTATAAAGCACATAGTAATGCCTGATTCTGCATGACCTTATTTTAAATCCCCAATCCTACCCCATACCTAAACTTAACCACCTTACTATTAATAAGCAGTAAATTAGGAGTTTATTGAGGCAAATGGCATAGTTAATAGTAGGCTAAAAGTGAGAACTGTTCTCCAAACTGAAGTGTGGCCGAAACTTTTTGCAAACACTGATACTTCAGAACTTCCTGTTTAAAGATAAGTTATTTAAAGGATTCACTTCCTAAATAAAAAATGCCTGATAATAATCCAAGATGTTCATGTCTTCAGTCGAAAAGAATTTAAGTTTTTGAGGAAAACATTCCTGGATTTTTCTCCATATAATGGACTTCAATGGGAACCAACAGGCTGAAGTTCCAAATTGCAGTTTCAGTGCAGCTTCAAAGGGCTCTACACAATCCCAGCTGAGGGAATAAGGGTCTTATCTAGCGAAACGATTGTTAATTTTCTTTTAAAAAAAATAAAATAAAAATGTATATACTTTGTTTTACCATAAACGCTCGTCTTGCACCAGCCCGACCTAACGCACTGCGTAGTCACGTTGGAAAGGTCACGTGAGACGTAGGCGGAAGTACCAAATGTGCAAATAAAGTCAAACGCCCTTTACAAAAAAAAGGTAAAAAAACAACGTCGGACGATTTTGAAGTTGGAGGAGAAAATGAGCAGTTTTTCGCTCTAACCTACCTTTTTGAAATGGAGTAACATTACACAGAAGAAGAGCTAACCATGCGTGACGTTTACAACGTGATTACGTAATGCGTGAAGTCGCACATTTGTGGTTAAAAAGTATATACATTTTTATTTTACTTATAAATTTTTAGAAAATGACAGATCGTTTTGCTAGATAAGATCCTTATTCCTCACTGGGATCGTGTAGAGCCCTTTGAAGCTGCATTAAACTGCAACCCGTTGATCCACATTGAAGTCCATTATATGGAGAAAAATCCTAGAATGTTTTCCTCAAAAAACTTAATTTCTTTTCTAATGACGTAAGAAAGACAAACATCTTGAATGACATGGGGGTGAGTAAATTATCAGGAAAAAAAATTTCCGGAAGTGAACTAATCTTTTATTGTTGAAATTAAAAATAATAATAATAATAAACAAGGATTCGCATTATATATATATATATATATATATATATATATATATATATACACATACACACACACACACATACATACAAAGGGAATACACATCTTCAACATTTTCTGTTCCATTATCAGGTTTAACATTACAAAATGTCCATTCGTGTATTGTGTTCCACTTTTGCTACATGCTAGGTGTTGGTTAGCAATTGCTCATTGCAGGACATAACTAAACAATGTTATTGTTACACTTAAGGCCATTTTGCCATTTAATTCAGTGAGCATTTTATCATTTTATAAAAAACGCTCACTGAATTAAATGGCCATAAGCACACAAACAGTTGAAGAAATACATGTTAGATCAGGGCAGTAGTGAGGCGATGGTAGCTTTCGATGTAGCTTTAATCTGAAATGATCTTAAACGTCAATATTCGCTGACATCGTTAGGTAAGCACACTTTGTTCTTTTTGTCAGAGATGATAAATGCTAGGTGAGGGATGTTTTGCTCCCCGCAGTTTGATTTTGTGTGTTCCTAAAGCTCTGGCCCAGTTCTCGCATCTCTCTGTTCTTTTTATATCGGCGTGACTGAACTGGTTGAACGATCGCAAAAGCCTCCTTTATTTTGATATCACTGCAGAAATCTATTTGGCACATTCTGTAAGTGTTAATTGATCTGTAAGATAATTACATAAATGGTTATCCCCTGATGCTTAATTTAGTCAAAGGCTTCAGGATACACACCATCTGGGACGTAAGACTACAGTTATCTCTCATTCTATCTTTGTTGTGAGCACATGATGAAATGGAAAGTGAAGGGTATCTGATAAAAGGTTACGGCAGTCGGATCGTCTCACCTCACGAACATAGGATCTTTCTTGAGATGCCGTCTGATTTATAAGGCTCTGACAGAAAGATGCTGTTAACGCTTTACAGATTGGGGAATAAAACGCACTGCAGGTGAAATCAAGGCTGTAAATGTCTGTTGGATGCACATCTCATAGAAACGCTTTACGAACTCCTCTATTGTATTATTTAACGTTTATAAAATTTGTCAAATAACTAATCCATCAACCTAACAATCAGCTTTTAAGTCTCTACGATTTAGATTGTTGTGTTCAATGAGCCTGAGCGTTGCCGTTCTTTGGGTAGTCAGTGGTTGTTCCTAGTCGTTTGTCTAAAACTGGCTGCGTAGTTTTCCTCTCGACCTGTTACTGCAACATAACCGAGTAGCGTTAAGCAGGCAATGTGGAGAAAGAAATGAGCTCCATGGAAACAGAGTGCACAAGAAGTGAACCGTATGTCACCTCGCCTGAGGGAGATATTATCCTGAAACGCACGCTCACGTCCTTATCACAACACAACTTTTAACACGATCTCTGGCTTTACTGAATCGTAATTTGTTGCAGCTCCCCAAAGGCCACTAATAAGTACATACAGATATACACAACACGAACCAGAGCTACAGAACAACAAGTACATACATAGAACGCAGAACGACAGGTAGAACGATATACTGTAGATAGAAAGAAACGGACAGACAGACAGATAGATAGAATGATGGAAAGATAAAATATTACACGGGTGAGTAGCTAGGTATAGATACAATGAGAGATAAGAGATAGATAGATAGATTTTTAAATATGCTTTTTATACACCAACCAATTTTAGAACCAAAACCAACTGTGGAGGCTCTGTATTGAATCTTCTATTAAGACACAAGGCTGCCAATATCCAGAGTATGTTTAACTCCACACGTAAAACCACACTATAAATACAGTAGCTGAACAGAAAGAAAGGAAGGAACATGGCTCACAGAACGGACAATGGTTCTACAATCTGGATTTATTCCATGTGCTTTTCAAGAATATAAGTAAAGACCAAACTTACAAAATCTGTGTGCTGGAAGCCCAAGCCTATCTACACATGTTAGTTAGCAATGATGTCACAAAATATATATATATACACATACACACACACACACATACATACAAAGGGAATCCACATCTTCAACATTTTCTGTTCCATTATCAGGTTTAACATTACAAAATGTCCATTCGTGTATTGTGTTCCACTTTTGCTACATGCTAGGTGTTGGTTAGCAATTGCTCATTGCAGGACATAACTAAACAATGTTATTGTTACACTTAAGGCCATTTTGCCATTTAATTCAGTGAGCATTTTATCATTTTATAAAAAACGCTCACTGAATTAAATGGCCATAAGCACACAAACAGTTGAAGAAATACATGTTAGATCAGGGCAGTAGTGAGGCGATGGTAGCTTTCGATGTAGCTTTAATCTGAAATGATCTTAAACGTCAATATTCGCTGACATCGTTAGGTAAGCACACTTTGTTCTTTTTGTCAGAGATGATAAATGCTAGGTGAGGGATGTTTTGCTCCCCGCAGTTTGATTTTGTGTGTTCCTAAAGCTCTGGCCCAGTTCTCGCATCTCTCTGTTCTTTTTATATCGGCGTGACTGAACTGGTTGAACGATCGCAAAAGCCTCCTTTATTTTGATATCACTGCAGAAATCTATTTGGCACATTCTGTAAGTGTTAATTGATCTGTAAGATAATTACATAAATGGTTATCCCCTGATGCTTAATTTAGTCAAAGGCTTCAGGATACACACCATCTGGGACGTAAGACTACAGTTATCTCTCATTCTATCTTTGTTGTGAGCACATGATGAAATGGAAAGTGAAGGGTATCTGATAAAAGGTTACGGCAGTCGGATCGTCTCACCTCACGAACATAGGATCTTTCTTGAGATGCCGTCTGATTTATAAGGCTCTGACAGAAAGATGCTGTTAACGCTTTACAGATTGGGGAATAAAACGCACTGCAGGTGAAATCAAGGCTGTAAATGTCTGTTGGATGCACATCTCATAGAAACGCTTTACGAACTCCTCTATTGTATTATTTAACGTTTATAAAATTTGTCAAATAACTAATCCATCAACCTAACAATCAGCTTTTAAGTCTCTACGATTTAGATTGTTGTGTTCAATGAGCCTGAGCGTTGCCGTTCTTTGGGTAGTCAGTGGTTGTTCCTAGTCGTTTGTCTAAAACTGGCTGCGTAGTTTTCCTCTCGACCTGTTACTGCAACATAACCGAGTAGCGTTAAGCAGGCAATGTGGAGAAAGAAATGAGCTCCATGGAAACAGAGTGCACAAGAAGTGAACCGTATGTCACCTCGCCTGAGGGAGATATTATCCTGAAACGCACGCTCACGTCCTTATCACAACACAACTTTTAACACGATCTCTGGCTTTACTGAATCGTAATTTGTTGCAGCTCCCCAAAGGCCACTAATAAGTACATACAGATATACACAACACGAACCAGAGCTACAGAACAACAAGTACATACATAGAACGCAGAACGACAGGTAGAACGATATACTGTAGATAGAAAGAAACGGACAGACAGACAGATAGATAGAATGATGGAAAGATAAAATATTACACGGGTGAGTAGCTAGGTATAGATACAATGAGAGATAAGAGATAGATAGATAGATTTTTAAATATGCTTTTTATACACCAACCAATTTTAGAACCAAAACCAACTGTGGAGGCTCTGTATTGAATCTTCTATTAAGACACAAGGCTGCCAATATCCAGAGTATGTTTAACTCCACACGTAAAACCACACTATAAATACAGTAGCTGAACAGAAAGAAAGGAAGGAACATGGCTCACAGAACGGACAATGGTTCTACAATCTGGATTTATTCCATGTGCTTTTCAAGAATATAAGTAAAGACCAAACTTACAAAATCTGTGTGCTGGAAGCCCAAGCCTATCTACACATGTTAGTTAGCAATGATGTCACAAATCCACCCCTTGTTCATACTGTTGTTTTCTTTTAATGTGTTGCACTTTGACCTGCGAAATTTGGTACCTTCTTTACCTATCCAATTTATTGGATTTTTTTCTTTTTTTAAATCATTCTTTATACATGGTTTTTCTTTGTTTTTTTTGTTTTTTTAATTACATATATGAACAATGAGTCAACAAAATATTTATTTACAGAACTGTGGCAAAATTCTACAGTGACAATGAGTGAAAATAAGATATCTGTTGCCATCCGCACATTCAGTTCCTCCGTAGTAATATAATAATATTTTTTTGTTTTCACGAATGGCTGCTTATTTGAGCTTGACGCGTCATATAAAAATAATGTTACGTTAAGACGACATCAGATGAGAATTGCACAATAAGAATAATAATTATAATAATTGTAAATATTACAGTAATGGTAATATAGTTCTCTATTAAACAGTAAAATTTCTTGCCAATATATGAATATTAATCTGCGTGGCATTGCCAATTACGTCCACAACCGTTCCATAGTGATTTTGGCACGAGACGCATCAGTTTTGTGGTTGTCCAGTGCAATGAGTCCATTCACATTGTGCATATTCATATTTTTAGATCAATAACCATAAACAAATGAAATAAAGAAAGGAAGATAGAAACAAAGAAAACAGAAAAGAAAAAATACAGAAATTTATGTAAATGTCCGTTTTTATCCCAGTCCAGACATGCCATGGTATTTTGGACTAGATATTAGGTGAAAAATCAGTGTAGTGTGTCCGAGTCGCCATAGCGACAGTCCTTCCCCAGTCCGTCTCTCGCGCAACAAATTTCTGTATCGGCCGCCGTCCTTCAGAACGCAACTCAAATCGCTGCCTCTTGAAAAGTATACATTCAAATTCCACAGTCTCCTCCTGTTGTTTTTTTATGCAGTGTGTGTGTGCGCGAGTGCATGCGAGTGTTTTGTTAAAAGGGTCCACGTCGGCAGTCCTTGTACGCGTACACCAAGTCCCGGCGAAAAAGTCCTTGTGAAAATCCTTACACGTGCGTTACGAGAGGCTCCAGTGATGCTTTTAGGTTCCGTATTTGTGGTCCGTTTTTGCAATGCATGTGAGAGTGAGGGTCCATGTTAGGGACAGGCTACATTCTCTGAATTCCACTGTAATAGACATGGGCGTCCGCCATTGCCCTGTGAATGAAATCACATCACTTATCCAAAGTGTCCATCAAAAAAAAAAAGCCCCCCCTTCTCCAGTTCACATGGACTGCATGCTTTCCATCAACTACACTGCATGTCTCAGGACTGGCTCGGGTTTTCGTTCACAGGCAAAACCAAAAAAAGGGAAAGAAAGAAAATACGACGGGAAAACTTTTCGGAAAGTAAGGAATACACTCAATTTGAGAGACAATTTTTGGCGGGTGTCTCGTCGTAAAGTAAGCCTTCGTTAAATGCTATCTGACAAACCTCTGCATCCACAAATTAGTTTTATGCTTAGACTGACTAAAACAAGCTCGTAACTCGTGTGCTGTTTAAGAAAAAACTAAAAATCTCCCCTAAATAAGGGAATTTAAATTACAGCAGACTTTTTTTTCCTTTCACTCTGACAAGCGCAGGTACTAAAAATGAAAACTTCACTACGAGACGAAAGAAACAACACAAGCAAAATGTCCTTCGTGTGAAGTCCAATCTCCATTCTATGCCAGCCATTTCGGATGCCCCACCTCGCAAAAATCTCTCCATTTCCCTCCCGCCTTGCTAACCCTATGCTGTCTAGTCAGAAAGAAACAAAGAAAGCAAATCCCGACAACATTTGTGTTTATAAGGCTTGAAGCAGCATTACGGTTTTAAGTTGTCATTCAAGCAGTCGAGGGGGGCGGTGGGGAAAGGCTGGAGAGGCGCTTCTCGAAGAAGCCGAGGAAAGAGTAGCGAGGAACGGAGGGAAGGAGAAATCAAAAGAGAGGGGGAAAAACTGAATGAAAAACAACCGCTTGCAACACTTTTTTGTGTGTTTTGGAGGAGGATCGGCAGCGTGGCGGCCCTGAGGGCTGAGCGGGACCTTCCCGTATTGTGCTGCGGCCAGAGTGGTGGGGGGTGGGGGGTCGAGTGAGATCAAGAGATAGAGAGAGAAAGAAAAAGAGGGGCAAAAGATCGAAGGAGAGAAAAGACAGCGGCAGCGTCATCATGCAGAAGCCACGGTAAACGGGCGGGCTTGGCCGGGCGGAGAGACGCGGGCTTGTCACAGGTCACTGGGCCCATGGCTCCGTGGGGGGCCTCTAGAGGGCGCTCTCTGTAAGGCACACACACAGGAGTGGACAGTATTTTGGGTGTATATTAGAAAATAGTGGTCTCATACTTGGTGTTGGCTCCTCTTTTGGCTTCATGTCCTGGCTCGACTATCCAGGGAACATTGGCGTGGCCCTTTTGATCCATTGAGGGCTGCTCCATCTGGGGTGCACACAGGGAAAAAAAAAACAAGAGGAGAGTGGGTCAGAACGCGCTAGTAATTTAGAGGGTTAAAGGCAGTCACGCGGGATCTTGCGTTCCCTTTTTTTTTAATTTGTATGCATACGCACAGAATTTTTGGGGGGGTTTTTTCGTACTAAAGTTTTGGTGACCTAAGCAAAAAGAAGTCTGACATGTATGTCACAAATTGACTTCCTGGATAAAAATCAAACATGGGTGAAATTTGATTATCACAAGTTTAAATGAATATTATTAGTTAAACAACAGTCAACAATTTTTAGGTTGATGGTTAATTCATATTCATTGAAAATACATAAAATTAATTTAAATGTTAAAATACAGAAATGATCATAAACCTACATTAATAGATTACTGTAAAAGTAATAATAAATAATACTACAATAAAAATAATATACCAATAATAATAATAATAATAATAAAATATAACAACAAAAATGTATTATTATTTTTAATTGTAATATTTATTTATGAACAAATATTTCTATCCTCGTTTAGTCAGCTGATGTTCTGGACGGACAGACCATTGCAGGACGACAGGAAAGAAGGATTCAGATGATGAAGAGATGAATCAAACAAACAGATCTGAGAGAGTAGTTAAAATTATTTTCTGTACCTTTCTTTAACCTGGAATTTTCCTTTTAATAATTAAGCGAAAAATAAAAAGACCAAGAAAAATGACAAAATAAGCAAAAACATTAGGCCTGTCAATTTAACATAAATTTAGTGCAAACATTAAAATAAATAATTATTCACATTTTTAAGTAACTGACAGACCTAAAAATAAATAAAAAATAAAAAAGGGGAAAAAGAAAATCAAGGAAAGGAAAATGTTAGAAGACCTGAAATGTGAATGATGGAGGAGTCGTGAGGTATGAGGAAGAGGAGAAGGATGAAGAGGAGGCCGGTGCGGGGTGAAAATATGCCCCATGGACCAGCGGCTAGAGGGGGACATGACCTAGAGGCGGAACAAAGAGGAAACAGAGGTCAACACACACACACACACACACACACACACACACACACACACACACACACACACGCGCGTGTATATGGGTGATTCTTTAATTAGAGGACTTTTATCTTTGAAGATGACAGATCAAAACAGCTTTTGTTTCTTTTAAATGTTGTTTCTTTACTTTTCCTTCAGCTTGTTAAAGACTGTTAAACTACAACAGAATCTCACTATTTTGGGCCTGCCCCCAATCCAGACTTCTACAATAAACTACCTACAGCAGATCTTAATTTAGGTCTTAACATTGGTTAAAAGCTGTTGTGCCAAGTTTTTGTCTCTCACTATAAAAACATGATCAGTAAATCATGGCAACTAATGTTTTTTTACATTACAACATCAAAATAAGTTGAGCAATTTAAACTTTTTTTTAATAAGTTAAATGAACTTGACTTTTCTTTAAAGTCGGTTTAATGTGCTTTAAGTTTAAATGACTTGTACAACCAAGTTGATTATGCTTAACATTTTAAGACAGCAACTGAACATAAGTATTTGAGTTGAAATAATTGCAATTAGGATGTATTTTTGTTGATGTAGTTAAACTTAGAGTAGTTTATGTAGTTAAATGCTGTCCCCCCCAACTGAGATTTTTCATTCATCTCAAAAGTCAGTTTTCTGTGCCATAAAAATCTCTGATTAAATTATAACATTGGATAGTTACATATTCAAAAATATATTGCCTGCTTAACTAGCTTCAATATAGTTTATATATATATATATATATATATATATATATATATATATATATTAGTGCTCTCAATCAATTAAAAAAACTAATTAATCATACATTTTTTTTTTCTGAAATTAATCACGACTGATCCCACCTAACATTAAAAGTTTTTAAATATACTTTTATATTGCAATAATTTCTAATTCACTCTTCAAATTAATGTAGAAACAACAGACAGTATATTTTTTATACTTGTTAAATGGCCTATTTTTTTATGACTGAAGGCGAGTATTACTGATACCAATACTACGTATGTCTCAATGACATAATACACCCCCCCCCCCCCCCCCCTAATATTTAACCATTGACTATAGTCATTCAACATTACAGTATAATTGAGAGCTATCAATTCGAACATTTATTAGACTTCACATAAACCCATTATAATAAATGTCATATTTGGCAGCCATATCACCCTGTAGCCCAAGACTGGTTGCCCACTGAAGCTAAGCAGGGCTGACATTAACATTCATGAGGCCCCATCACACACTGACTGAGATCTGCTTAATACAAACTCAAACACACACTAAATTATTTACACGCAATGTCATTCAGTCCCCTGCAATAACCCAGATAGTGTGCCATCTCATGAGACAAACAAAAAGAGCCAAAATAACATTCTGCACTGTTTAAACTATGGCCTTATTGGGTTTGAAAGTTGGTGACATAATATACCGCATATAAAGACGCTGGAAAAAGGTGGTTTTAGCTGGTTTGGCTGGTCTCCCAGTCTGGTCAAGCTGGTGTTTAGTTGGTCTGTCAGCGGGAGACAAGCTGTCAAGTGCTCAAACCCTCTTACACCAGCAAACCAAACCAGGTTGAAAGACCACCTCAGGCTGCAGGGGCATAAATCACATGCCCGAGGATGATGATGATGAACTTCAGAGAATCAGAATTCATTTTCATATCTTCCTACGCTGTCATATCAGTTGTCAGAGTGGAATATATATTCATCTGGACCTCGTTTCCCCCCTCGCTCTCTCTCTGTCAGTGGTTTCCCTCTACTGTTCTGTACCTGCCAAAATATTCTGCTTAAAACAAAGAGTGAGAGACGGAGGACCTAAATTTACACCCTCTGAATGTATTAATGTGTTTGTGAAGAAGCAAGGGACTCAGGTCTCAAACTCTCTCGGCCTCATCGAAACGTGCAGCGGGGAGCAGAAAGGAGAGAGATGGAGAACAGATGGTGTTTTACATGCATACAAAAAGAGAGCGGGTGAACTGTCCTGCCGTGTTAAATAATCTCATGAGAACGGGGGGCCGGGGGCTGTTGAGGTAAGAGAAGGTATTCTGAGGTAAAGCGAAGTCAATGTATTCATACGCTGTGGGAAGTAGGCTATTTATACGATTATGAGAAGAGTCATAATTGGCCATAATATTATTTCCCTTCACACTGCCTTGTGTGGGTATTCATCCATAATACACGGTGTTCTTACGTAGGCTTGTAAGAACAGAGACATTTCCTGTTTTCTCAATGACTGTGTGTCATAGTGACCTGAGGGCAGCAGGAGCATGACTAGACAGATTGTATAGTGGTTGCCATGGTGACAACTCTTACCCTCATTTTTGCACAGGCATCATGCGTGGACTCTGTACCACGCAACTCCTTCACCAATATAGAGCCCAGATACTGCAGAACAAACACACACAATCAGAAATGAGAAACACATTCATATAGTTAGATTATATGTATAAGATATAAAAAAAAAGAGATAAAAAGTACATACGCACACACACACACACACATATAGTTTTAAGTAGAATTATATATAAATATATATTTATGTTTTTTGTAATTGTTTAAATTTTTTCCTACTTTTTAATATTGAAAATTTGACAATATATAACTTTTATTATTATTAAGTTTAATATTATTTTATTACAAAAAATATTTGTATATATTACTTTATAAATTACATATTTTACATAAGTGTATTATTACTATTTGAAATAATATTTTATTATATATTAAAAAAAAACTAGACATCTTTTCTATTTATAAATGATGGGTTTTCACTAAAGGTAGTTTAGAATTTATATAAACATTTTACAGACTACTATATAACTATTATTATTTAAAATTATTTTATTATAAAAAATTTAATCTATATTAATTTCTAAATTAGATATTTTAATACTATTATATTAAGTTATTCTGATTTTAAATAATAATATGCTTATTATGTATTTAAAAAAATAGACATTTATATATCTTTATTTATAAATTATGAGTTTTCTCTAAAGCTAGTTTATAATTCATATCAACATTTTTACTATTTAGTTTAACACGAGCTTGTACACATAAATGAGTTCTTTTATAATTGGCTAACCTATCTGCATGTGAAACTAGTTATAATGGTAATGTGGGCGGTCAAATGTTAAAGTACTCATGGTCCTGACAAGTCTACCTCAGTATTCAAATTACTATTTAACAAATTTATTTTTTTAATACATGATCTGGGTGGACTGGAGAGTTGTGTCAAGTATGTCTCTTTTATTTTAAAAGAGTAACAAAATCCTGATTAAGGTATTACTTTCCCAGCAGTAGGTGTGCACAGATTGTGCGTCACTGTGAGTACAACTGTCAGCTAAATCAATAACAAAATGGAAATGTACAATGAAGCGCAATCCGTGTATCATTCGATCATTCGTTTTTTTATTTAATATTGAAAGTAGAAAAATTAGAAAACTGATCCTTTTTCGTTTTTTTTCACAAAAAACGAAAAACGAGAATTCAGCTTAAATTTTCGTATTTCGTTCTTGGGTGGAAAAATGAATAAACAGTTTGAATATTTGATTTCTACATGTGGGCGGGAATTAAACGCCCCTTTCTGCTGATTGGTCAGCCGAAGATCAAACCGTGCCATCATCAGTTCTTCCGCAGTATCACACAGCAGAATAATAGTCCTCTGCTGCTGCTGTTGTACGGATTAATAACCCATTTTATCAATTTCATATTTTTCTCATCAAACAGACTAATGAATAGCTCGTCTAATGACAAGAGTATTAAGTTCCCTCGATGGGGGAAAAATCCAAGTGAACATCAATCAGTACTCAATATTAATTTAAACTGTTTTAAATATGATTGCTGCTTATTTCCTGTGCACTTCAATACTGGTCTGCGCTTGACTGTAGTCGCGTCTGTCTACTTATTGAGTTTACTTAACCCATCGCAATTTCGCAACATGTCCTGCTCGGGCTTGCCAATTTAATGGCAGAGAATGGTGACTTTAGTTGTTTTTTTAAGCGGATACATATGTCATAAAATAATCCTATGCATCTCGTGCCGTATATTCCAAGCATTCTGAACATATACTGAGGGTTTGGTGAGAAAAAAACTAAATGGCAAGTTATTATATTTTATGAATATCTTGCGTTGCAGTTCACGCTGCACACAAGTGCATATCCTTTTGAGATATCAATTATAATCAATTTTAATAAAACACAAGATTACATTATATAACTCTAACAGTAGGCTATTTAATATCTGTTGTTCTCTGGTTGTCAGTCAAAATGACAGTTCTTGCAACATAGGCCTATATATACCAAAGCCAATTTATTATTCTTTCCTTTCTTTCTTAGTGTTTAAAATATTTATTTTGAAACAAATTAATTAATTTCTTAATTAAACAAACAAACAGACTTACTGGGTGAGCAGGGTAGGCTAAGACAGCTGTCATATCATACCCTGCCATGCCCAGCTGATGCAAAGAGATGAAATGTAGTTGCAATAAATGTGTTAAGAATCCATACAACTGCAGCAGCTGAGGACTATTATTCTGCTGTGTGATACTGCGGAAGAACTGATGACGGCACGGTTTGATCTTCGGTTGACAAATCAGCAAGAAAGGGGCGTTTAATTCCCGCCCACATGCAGAAATCGAATATTCAAGCTGTTTATTAATTTTTCCACCCATGAA